TCCTGGTTGCTGAGATGAAAGTGGGTGACAAAATGCACTCGCTTTCTGAGCACACACACAGACAGCTTCTTGACAATATGTGTTTTGCTGGCTGTAGCAGCTATAGCGTTGCATAGCAAAAATGCATAAAAAAGGGCAAATACTAGAACTTCACTCAGCCGAGTTGGGGGACGTGTCGCAATGATTAAGGAATGGCGAAGTGAGAGAATAGGATTGCTGAGAAGGGCTTGTTAGTCTGACTCTCAGAGAGGCATGCCGGAGAGGAGCAGAAGGAACACTGACGAGAAAAGGGCTGATTCCTTGCCTGGAAGTAGGAACTGGAGTCAGGGATAGTGTTGTTGGGGACAGAGTTATATGCATTTATTATGATAAGCAAGAAATTTGGTGTTCAGAGTAAGCTAGTATGCCTATGTGCGACGTGTAAAAAGTTCCTAGACAAAAATCAGGTACCTGTCCACGGCTATGAATTTCGCAGCTCACAGTGAATTCACAAAAGAATGCAGGTACTTGGCCGAGCTCAGCTGAGCCGAGTTCCCATGACAGTGTGAAAAACAGCTCAGTTACACATTCATTGCTGGGCCATTTCTCGACTATGCTCAGTGACATACATATTATTTAAATGCTGAAACATGAATTAATCGCAAAAAGATGATGACTAACTCCATTTTGAACAGTTAATTCCTGATATGCAGGAAATGAAAAGAGCCTGCGCAGGAGATCCAGCCAATTGCCGTCTTCTGAATAATTGAAGGGATCAACGTGCAGATTATCTTCAAAGAACAGCTTCGGCAAATCGTCAATCTGCATTAGAAATAGATTTTAAAAAATGCAGCAAAAATAGGAAAAATGTTCAGCTTATAAAATACGGGCAGTATGGAGCATTCTTAGTTCCATGTAATTTATAAGATCTTGCTCTCTCGAAAATACTGGTTCTCTCTGTGTAAAAAACTTCATAGATTAGTGCACTGCATTTTCAACAATTATTTAAGAAACAATCTGGTACTAAATTACAAGAAATCGAAACGCAAACTGAATTCCAACCGCAAAAAAATGAGGAAGTCAGAAATATAAGCATCAAAAATACCTGCAGTGAGCCGTTTCTCTGGACGTGTTCAAGGATTTTGTCACCCAACAATCTGTACCGAAGACCGGCATCTTGATCTTTTAATACTGACGGCATAATTGTCCCGCTTGAGTACGGCAACCTACTATTCGCATTTTGAGCCTAAAAAAGTACGTCCTTGTATTAGGTGGCTTCATGATAAGAGTAGGAAATTAAAAGTCTATCGTCAAATGTAAATAACGTTGGTT